TTTTTTTTTTTTTGCAAGCTTCTACTACAGAGCCTATCCTTCCCACTCTGAGCAGACAAACCTGGGCTATTTGAACCTCTGATGTTGTAGTATCTGGCTTCACTGGGGGTGGGTGGGGTCATTTTGCTCAAAAGTTATCATTCCTGCCTTAAAGGCACAGTGCAGTGCAGCCGCACACTTTCAAAAACAGTTAAAATTCCCATGTGCAAACTACTATTTTCTCGGGTTGGGTGAAAGATAACCTTCTCTTCCAAAACGTCTGCAGAAGGACCCAATTTACGGGAACCAAGCAGGTTTCAAGTTGAAGAGCACTTTAAAAAGTGCTTATAGCCGAAAACTGGTTTCTTGGTGAGAAGCAAAGCACCATAATTTGCAAAGAAGTTGGGGTTGGTGGCGGGGAAGGAGAAGGAAGCATGTAGTCTCTATTGGAGGTGGTGACCCTTGGAGAGCTGTGTGCAACGAAATTTCATTTTAATGTATGCCGATAAGAGTACATTCAAAGTGACAATAAAGTCAGAGGTCTCCAAACGTGGCAACTTTAAGACTTGTGGACTTCAACTCCCAGAATTCCTCAGCCAGCATAGCTATGCTGACTGAGACATAGCTATGCTGACTGAGACATAGCTATGCTGACTGAAGAATTCTGGGAGTTGAAGTCCACAAGTCTTAAAGTTGCCAAGTTTGAGGACTCCTGTTCTAAGTGTTGGACAGCCTCCTTTTTCCAGTGTGTAAGCATGCAAGCATTTTCCAACAGGCAGGATTAAAAAAAACACCTTGCACAGCCAGAGTAAATGGAATGGCCACCTGGTCTGGGGAAAACCAGTAGCACACGCTGAAGAGACGCAATCCATTCCCCGTCAGAGAACCCCAAAGATGCTCCTGCTTCTCTTCCTTGAACAACCTGGATGGGCGCAGGCCCCACCCTCCTCCTGCTGCTGCTGTATAAACCGGCTGCTGGGCCTTCGTAACAGTCCAAGGATGGGCAGGGATGTATGCGTTGGTTCAATATTTGTGTAAAAGAGGTTGGCTGCCCAGGGATTTTCAAACACAGGACGCCTGATCTCTCTCTCTCTCTCTCTCTCTCTCTCTCTGTGTGTGTGTGTGTGTGTGTGTGGTGGGAATGGGGAGAAAAAGAGAGAAAAGGCGGGATCCCTTGGGATGGGAGGAGAAGCCAGGAAAATTAGGCAGACACAAGGAGGGGAGGGAAAGGGCTGTGGTAAACCCAAGCCGTCTAATGGGGCAGATTCCCCCCCCCCCCAATCAGAATAATCCTCAAATGGAGTAAGAGGCAGACTAAGAAACTTGCATCACCTTGTTTCACAACAGATTGCAGCAAAAGAGGCTTTGGGGATCCTCAAGTTCACGTACCTGAGCATGTGTACCTGCATGTGCCTGTTTTAAGACAGATGTAAGGAAAAGGGATCCTCACACAAACAGCATAAACTCATGAGCCGTCTCCATGATACCATCTGGGCCCCCGTCTCCCCACTGACTCCTGGGCGGCCACCGTGAGGAAGACCAGAAGAGCCCGTGAAAAACTGGTTGCGCAGGCTACCCCGGGGATGACTAAACAGGGAAGAATTCGCCTTCTCCAGCGGCCTCCGCACCCCCAGGGAATTCGCTTCTGGCTGAAAGGGGGCTCTACCCTAGAACAACCATAGTTCAGGCTTCTAGAAATTCCCTGGGTTTGCCGACAGTGCCAGAGACGGAGAAAGCCAATCCTGAACATGAAGTGCAGAGGCCGCCAGGTTCTTGGCTGATGACCTACCTACCTCTGCTTTTCTGCAGATTTTGGCCTGGGAAGGCAAGGCTACCTCACACTTCGATGTCTGCCGGTCTCTGCAAGGCCACATGCCGTAGCATCTTCTGACACAGCCTCATTCAAGTCTTTCCCACATCGTGTCTCTACGGTGAGGAACCAAAGCAGGAGGCCGGGAGGCCCCTCTGCCTCTTTCCCTCAAGCCCAGAGAATGGGGGTGCATTGGGGGGAATTCCCCCTTCTTCTTCCACTGAGGGGAGAGCTCTTGGTCCCTGCAAAATCTCGCACATTTCTATCACCCCTCCCTCTGCCGGCTCCCCTCTTCCCTGTCAGGGCAGAAGAGTCACTGCTCACACATTTTCCTTCCATCCAGCCTCTGGTCATCAGAATTCACAATCCGTGTGCTGACCCTTCACCTTTCACATAATGCAGCAGGCATTGGGAGGTGGTTTGTGATTCCAGCGATCCTGTTTCATCCCTGAAGGTGCCCAGAAGGGGACTTTGCCTTTTGCAATCTGCACCCCTAAATGGCAGGGCCCTGAGTTTATAGTGACCTGCAAAATCCATTTGCGTCCCCACTAATTCAGTTCCTTCAACAAATCACTCTAGTATAGGATCTACACAGCTTTCAAGATGTGTCACCATTATGTGAACACATGTAATTGCTACCTTCACACAACACACCTACCTACCCAGCCAATTACTTTCACCCAGGGCGCTGCTGGGCTGACTGGCAAAAACCTTTGTTCTGACTTTTTTGGGCACTTCCAGCAGACTGGCTGGCTGGTGTCGGCTTCAGGGCAACCACAACAACTGGGAGCCAGACTGTTTTTGATAATTAACCGGCTCCCACCAGGTGATTCCGACCTGGGCGCCTGCAACATTCCTCTCGGGTTTGTTTAACAGGGTGGAGGGGCTCCAGCAGCCGCAGCTGGAAGCGTCTCAGGACGACAACTTCCCTTCTCGGCCGCCGCCGCCTCTGCGGGCATGCAATACAAATCCGGCCCAGGAGAAGCGCAGCTGCCCGCCCGCCCGCCCCGCCAGGAGGGCCAAGGAGAACTTGGGGTGCGGGAGGGGGGGAGCTGCTGCCATGGCGGCTTCTAGCCCAGCCCGGCCAGACCTCGCCTCGGGTCGCCCGCTCCAGCGGGAAAGTCGCAGCCTTTCTCTCGGCTGGGCTGGGGCTGTTCACGGACCACCATCCGCCTCCAGCACTTAAGTGACAGCCAATGCGCTTCTGCGGGCTGGGGGGTTCTTAAAGGTCATTTAGTCCAGCCCTCCCCGAGACAGAGCGTCCGCAGCAGCCTTCCACCCCTCCGGCGCCTTCAGGCAGGAAGCAGCCTCGCGGCCGGAGTGCGACGGGGCGCGACCGGGTGCCAAAGCGCCCAAAGAGGCGGCCGATGCCCCCCGCCCGGCCCGCCCAGGCCCCGCTTACCGGCCAGCAGCGAGAGCGGCAGCAGCAGCCAGTAAAGGACGCCGCACAGGACCCGCAGCTCCATCGCGCCGCGGCTTCAGTCGCAGGGTCGGCGGGCGGCCGTCGGCATCGTCCCGGCCCCGGGCTCCGAGTCCCGAAGCGGCGCCTGGCTGGGCGCAGTGCGGCGGCGGCGGCGGCGGCGGCTCCGTCGGTTTCGCGCCCCACCCGAGCCCAGCCGCCCTCTCTCGCCCTCGGCCCGCGGGAGCTCAGCCCGTCCCCGGGGGAGGAGCGGGGGGCGGTCTCGGCTCTGCCCCGCAGCCAGCGCAGCCGGACCCAGCCTCTGTCGGCCTTCCGCGCAGCGCAGCCCCGCTCGGCCGCCGATGTCCCGGCTCTCTCTGGCCGCGCACGTGCCAGCTCGGACCCTCCCGGTTAGAGCTGCTGCTGTGCCGCCTCCGCCGCCGCCTCCGCCCACCCGCCGGGGCCGCCCCCTCCCCTCCCCTGGCGCTATTGGCCGGGCGGCAGCTCCACCTAGTGCCCGCTGCGACGGCCTCTCCGGCCCGACACGTCGGACCAGGCGGAGAGACCCTCCAAAGCCCCGACTCGCCTTGCGGGGGCTGCTCAGCCTGGACTCAGGCGGCGATCAGGCTCCCACCCTCGAGGCTCGGAGGCTGCTTCTGCCTCCCCCCCCCCCCGCCGCGCCCCCCTCCCCCCCCCGCCCCCCCAGGGCCCGCCGGCGAACCGGCCCCCCCCCCCCCGCCCAGGTATCCCATGTCTGGCCTCACCTGGAGTCCAGGCCGCCTTCTCGCTCCCAGCCGCAGGAGCTCCGGAGGCCCCCAAGCGCTGCCCCGCCTCAGCCGGGACCCTGCCGGGGTGCGTCGGGCGGAGCAGCAGAAAGCCCCGCCAGCCCCGCTGTAGAAGCTAGCGGGGGGCGCCGAGGAAACCAGCCCCGGAGCGGAGTTTCCTGACGCGCGTTGCGAGGCCTTCGGAGTGAGACGCGGGTCCCCCTTCCCAACGGAGCCCCAAAGCAAGAGGCCAGCAGGAGGCCCTTCGGGGGAAGCAGTCCCGAGGCAGCTACGGGGCAGGGCCAGGTCCTGGACGGGCCGAAGCGCAGCCGGCGGAGAGGCTTCCAGGCGGCCCCTGCCCGGGTCCTGGCTGAGGGTCCGCCCCAGACCTCTGACCCGGGGACGCTGCCTGGGGAGAGGACCGTCTGAACCCGGCCTCTTTCGTGAACGGGACAAACGGGTTGCAGGAAACGGTGCGGAGGCGAGTTCGCACATCGCCCGAGCCCGGATGCGAGGGGGGGGGGGGGTCCCTCGGCACGGGCTGCAGCCGTCGCCCGAACGCCCCCCTGGCAGCGGGCTGCGGCCTAAGGCCGGCCGGGGGATCGTGACTGCCCCCCGCGGCCTCCCCGAGAAGCGAGGCCGGCCCGTCTGGAGGGTCCCGGGCGGCGGCGCGGCCCCTTTAAGAGCGCAGCGCGGGAAAAGCGGGGGCGGGGCTTAGCCGGCCCGCGAAAGTGGCCACTTTGTATCCGCGGCGGTAGCAGCAGCAGCGGCGGCGGCGGTCGAGATGGCGCAGCTCCGCCTGACCCGCTTCTTCCCGCAGAGCAAGGCCGGCCGGGAGCAGCCGCGGGGCGCCAAGCGGCGGAAAGGGGCGGCGGGGGAGCCGGGGCTGGAGCCGGAGGGCGACTGGGCCGGCCCCGCTGAGCAGAAGCCGCGGCTGGGTCCGCCCGGGACTCCGCTCGCCTCCGCACCCCCGCCGGCCGGGCCGCCCAGCAGGAAGAGGCGCCGCTCGGAGCCCGAGATGGAAGCGGAGCGGAGCCCCGTCGCCCCGCATCGCCGCCCGCCCAAAGGGGGCGCCAGGAAGAGGCTGCTGATGCCCCCGGAGGAGGAGACGGCGGTGAGTCCCCCCCCCCGGCTCCCCCCCCCCCCCCGTGGCTCCTCTTCTCCCAGGCGGCCTCGATCCGGGTTGACGGCCTGCCGCCTCGCTGCCAGGTCAGAGCCGCTGTGGGCATCCGAGCCCCGGTCTGGGTCGGACGGAGCCCCCTCCCCGCGACCCGGTCCGGCTGGGCTGGGGGGCCGCTTGGTCTCCTCCACGTGTTGCTCTGATGCTGCTCCGTTTTCCAGCAAGGTCTCTAACCTGATGCCCGGTCGTGTGAAGGGAACTCCGGATAATGCCAGGCTGCCCAAGTTTTCCAGGCTGCCTGTTCTTGCTCCCTAATTTGTATTTATTAATTAAATAAATCTCCTGTACAAAGGGACCCCGGGCCTCGTGGCGTGCGTGCGTGTGTGCGTGTGAAAGAGAGAGCCCCAAGGGTTGACTGAGGCTCTGCTTCTGTTTCAGGTCTCTGCCTGCCCCTCATCCACAGCAGCTCTGGCGCCCGCCAGCCCCTCCTCCCTGGATAAGGAAGCCAAGGAGCTGGTGAACAAGATTCTCTCACCTGGCTTGAAGTTGGGGGGGACCTCGGGGGCTGTGGCTGGTCCAGAGGAGAAGGTGAGGGAGGGCAGGACTGGCTGGGGAATTCTGGGAGTTCACAGGGCTTAAAAGTTGCCAAAATTGGACACCCCTGCATTGCAGACTGGAGCTGACCTAAGAATCATCAGTGCCAATCTCCCTATCTCTGTGCCCTGGCCAGCCTCCCTTGCTCTCCCCCCCCCCCCCTCTAATGCCCCTTCGGCCTTTTCCCGGGGGGGGGGGTTTAGGAGGGGGGGGGGGGGGGCACTGCTTCATTCTTGAATCCCAGGGGCCCAGCAAAAAGGGAGGAGGGGGCGGCCAGCCTTGCTGAGATCTCCCCCTTCTGCGCAGGATGCACCCCAAAAGCAGCACCTGGAGCTGAAGAGCCGTCTGGGCAAGATCCAGAGCCTGGTGCAGAAGATCAAGGGCGGAACTGCCCACCTGGAATCTGATGGCGACCTAAAGGGCCGATTGGAACGGGCCCGGCTGCTGGAATCCCAGATCCGCCAGAGGAAACTCTCCCCACAAGAGGGGAGGAAGGACCTGGCACCCACAGCAGAGACCAGGTGGGAAGATGGCTCTGCCCATCCTGAAGCAGAGGGGGGGGGGGGGGCAGGTCACTGGCACGACTGGCTCCCCTGAGAGCCGGTCTGGTTCAGCCGTTTGAAGCCTCTCCTCCCCCCCCCTCCTGGCTTAGTGAGAAGGTGCCGGCCTATCAGCGCTTCCACACCCTCGCCCAAGATGTGCCCCCCGGTCTGCTCCTGCCGTACAAATACAAGGTGCTGGCCGAGATGTTCCGCAGCACAGACACCATCGTGGCGATGATGTTCAACCGCTTGGAAGCGGTCACCTTTGCCAAGGTCAAGCAGGGCGTGCAGGAGATGACACGCAAGTGAGTTTATTTTTCAGGTGCTGGATTGGAGGCTTCTGGGCACCCCTTTAGACCAAGGGCCTCCAACCTTGGCACCTTGAAGACTGGTGGACTTCAATCCCCAGAATTCCTCCTCCAGTCATGTTAGCTCAGGAATTCTGGGGGTTGAAGTCCACCAGTCTTCAAGTGGTGAAGGTTGGACACCCGTTTAGACCCAAGACTGGAGCTTTCCATGGGGCTTCGGTGAGGACGCTGCTTCCCATCCACGCAGGGCTCACTCTGGGCCTGGTCACCACTTTCTGGAAAGCGAATGTTGCCCACTAATCCGCTTCCTGCCCTGTAGGCGCTTTGAAGAACGGCACTTGGGGCAGATGAAGACGGTGTACCCAGGTTCTTACGTCCTGCGCCAAGAGAGAAACATCCCTACCTTTGGTGGACCGGGGAAGCAGGGCGCCTACCAGCTGACTATCGAGCCAGAGCTGGGAACAGGTGGGTCTGGGCAGGCGGCCCCCTGCTTTCACAAGCCCTTTGTGTGAGCTCAGCCTTGGTGTTTGTCTGGGCTCTTTCCCCCAGCAAGAAAGCTTTTTTTGCTGTTTCCCGTCAAGAAACGAGGACCTGCTGATGCCCGTCTGGATGCCGTGGGGGGGGG